CATCAATTGAGACTAAAACTAATTCAATTATTGACTCACTATTAAAAGCTGGATTAAACACGAAAACAGAGGTGTATCAATTAAAAAGAAATAACAGTATATGCTCCAAAGCATATGGTCTCAGGTGGTGAATTTTAAAAAGATACAGAGAATTTCAGTGCTCATTATACTACTTGACAAATATCGGTTAAAAGAAAACAAAAAGAAGAAAGAAAATAATTTGACCGATGGATATTGATACAGAGAGCTTTTAATAGAAATAATAATAATGTATATAATTATTTGTATTTATAAAACAAAGACAACTATATAGGTTGTACTAAAGTTTTTAACATAACAAAATAGATTATATATTTCCATTTTTTTATTTTTGGTTCTATGTTAATTACTGTCTGATCACTCAACACATGTGATGTTAAAAATAATAATAATTATTGTTTATTTAATATTTTTGTGTTCAGTAGTGTTAACATTTTATATAAATGTTAATTTACGTATATATTGTTTTAATTTTAGATTCATAAATCTTAAGTTAAGCTTTATATTAAAAGTAAAGGTACTATTTTAATTGTAATGTTTATTTTGTATAATTATTACAGCACTGAGGATGTTCTAAAATAAAGAACGAAATATTTACTTCAAATTTCTAAATATAAGCGTTTTATTGTGGTTTGTTTGATAGCTGAAAAAAATTTTAATTTATAAAAATATAATACGAAACCAGATGATATCAAAAAAAAACAAACTTAATTATTAATTATTAACCGTTAATAAATATTTTTACTCGTTTATTTATTATTATAAAAAATCGAATGTATAAGATAAGAAAAGATATTTAAATATGATAATATATAAGCTATATATTATCTATAATATCTATAATGGCAAACTCCTATTGATCGGGAATGTTAACCGGTCTCAGGAAGTTATCAAAACCAACGACTGTAGGATCTTCTACAGGTTCAGCTTCGTCACGGTCCACCTGTATAAGGGGCGGGAAACAAGGAGAGAAATAACTCAGCTGAGGAAACCACCCCTGCTGAAGGGGCGATTCCTACAACAAGCGAAGAAGGATGTATATCTAATTTACTAATCGAACAAGATATATAACATTGTACATCAATCGTCTTAGAAAAAGTTCTAAATTTTTATTTCAATATTTTCGATGCAGCAAGCTTCCAACATATATCTTCAATGCAATTCCAACTGTTGTGCATTCACAATTTAACGCATATTTAAATTCATTATAATTAATTTGTGAATGTTCTATTTTTTCATATAATTGTGATTATTAGAATATTGTATTCAAAGTTTTTTATACATTAATTGTTTTCTGTCTTCTAGTCTTTTTAAAAAAAAACTTCTTTCTGCAATTTTGACACTCAAGAACTTTTAAGTAAATCGAGCAAGTTATAGATACAAATACACACAATGAAAGCTTGAAGTCTCCTTTTTCAGATAAGCTAATTTGCAGAAAAATGGTATCTCTGCTTTTAAAGTTATAATTCATATGGTAATGTAACTTCGTTTTTACAATTTTTTGCTTTCCACTTTTAAAGAAAATATGCTTTTACTATATAAAAACTAAGTATATATAGAAAACCAAACATATTTTTTACTGTTATCTGTCTTTTATTTCATAGTTTTTTTCTAAATAATAATGTTTTAACTAATTTAAAATTGAAAGGACGTCTTAATAAAGATTCGACGCTAACTATATTTTGACATTCATTTCCCAAAATTATCATCAATGCAATTTAAACTGTTTTGCATCCACAAGTTAGCACATAATTAAATTAATTTTATTTAATTTGTTAATTAAACCATATATATATTATTATACATTAATCGTCTTAGAAGAAATTCTGATTTTTTATTCAAATAATATGTTGGATGCAGTAATCTTAATAAAAATTCGACGCTAACTATTTAGATATTTCATATCCCACATTTATCGTCAATGCCATTACAACTGTTTTGCATACCCAAGTTAGTGCACATTTAATTTAATTATATATAATTTGTTAATCGAATAAGATATATAATATTGTATATCAATCGTTTTAGAAAAAATTCTAGTTTCTTATTTTGATAATATCTTTGATGCATCAAGCTTAAAAAAAATTCGACGATAGCTATTCTTTTGTAATTCTATGAACTTACCAATAACTCTGCAACTGTACATTATGTTTTTCAGTGCCATTTTAATTATTCAGCGAATTTAACTTAAGATAGTATGCCATCTATTAACGAACTTTACACAAAATTTTTGAATCATTAATATAATTAAACTAATTTCGATTTTTTTCAAGTAATTGTGTTTATTAGAGTATTGAATTCAAAGTTTTTTATATATTAACTGGTTTCTGACTTCTGGGATATGCTTTTTATAAGAAAAATATCGTTTTTAAAAGAAAATTAATTTCTGAATTTTGACATTCAATAACTATTAAGTTAATCGGCCAATCTATAGATTTGAAAACATGAAATTAAAACTTGAAGTGTCCTCTATCAATTAAGCTAATTTGCAGAAAAATTGTATCTCTACTTTTAAAGATATAATTAATTTTGTAATGTGACCTACTTTCACAAAATTTTATTTTCCTTATTTCGAAGAAATTGTTTTCTAGATCATATAACAAGCAATTATATTTAGAAAAACAAACATATTTTTTATTGTTATATGCTTTTTATTTCATAATTTTTGGTTAAGTAATAAAGTTTTGATTAAATAATATATGAAAATGACATCTCTATCTTCATCGCAGCACTGCTCCTAAGTTAA